TTTGTTTTTACATAAAAATGAAATTATTCACAGGGACCTTGTATGTTATTTTTCCTTTTACAGACGTTTTCAAAAATGTGTGAACAACGATTTCCTTATAGCTATAAGGGAAATCGGATTTAAATTAGTGAAAATTAAATTACCGATTAGAGCGGATCTTAAAAACTGGGAAATATCATGAATTCCCATGACGTGTTATCTACGACCGTTCACACCTTTTGAAAACAGCTGTAATATTTTTTATTATTAAATTTTTTTTTTTCTAATTTTTCTTTACGATTTTTAGCATTCAAAAAATATTTTAATTCATCAAGGGCAACCAAAAATTGCTGATTTTGGCTTATCGAAACAAATAAATGAGACGTTAAATTCTTCAAATTCAGTTGTTCATGGAATGTCGGCATATATTGAACCACAATGTCTTATAGATTCTAAATATAAACGAGATAAAATGTCTGATATTTATAGTTTTGGAATAATCCTCTGGGAAATTTCAAGCGGAAAGTTACCATTTCAAAATTTTGGATCAGTAATGATTCTTTGTTTGCATATAATTAATGGAAATAGAGAGGAGCCGATAGAAGGAACACCCCTCAATATATCAAACTTTATAAGCAATGTTTGGAACAGAATCCGAAAATGCGCCCGGAAGCTAAATTTGTATTCGAGAAATTAAAACAAATTGAAATTGATAGTACTAAAAAATGAAAATGATATTAGTATTAAAGGCATTAATGGGTTTCAGCATAAATCTAATTTTGATTAAAATAGGTGACGTATTTGTTTTCAAATAAGATTGCATCAATTTTTATTTCGCTTTCCGATGGATTTGATTTAACGACCGAAGAAAGTTGGATTCGGTGACCTCGAACAGAGGTGTGACGAATAATCATTTGCTAATTGATTATTTCAGTTAATTATTCGTCACATAGAAGGTTTCGTCACACACCTGTGCCGGGTTGTCTATAATAAACTTAGTCCGAGGAAGTTTTACAAATGGGAGTCTTTAAACACTCCCATTTCATTTTCTCATTTTATAATTTTGATACACAAATAAGATTTTTTAAATTCTCATTTATTTCCAAAATACTGTACGCTATTTTTTTAAACCCCTTATTTATCATTTGTTTGTAAAATAAACAAATAAATAAATATTAAGCTTTATTCAGATTTGAAAACCATTTATGTCTTTTTATCAATTTTACATTGAATATTTAAAAAGTAAGGGAAAGTTTTGATTATTTTTAATAATCTAAATTAAAAAATGTTGATAGTTAAAAAATATGAAGAATTTTGTGTACTGAAAAGAATTCGTTCAAAGCCTAAAAACATTTTTGAAAGCGTTGGTTTAAATCATGCTGAAGCTTCACAGGCTGAATCAATGAATAACGAGTACATATCAGGAGACAAATCTCCCGATACATACCCATCATTCTACCATAGATCCGCCAAATAACTGTAGCATATCGGTAGCATATGGGGTCTATTCAGTAGAAAGGGGGTTAATCTCTTTTTTGATTAAAAAATTTTTATTGGCCTATTAAATAAAGTATAGTTAGATATATAAATTTGATAAAAAATTAAATTATGTTAGTTTAATATTTTTTTAAGTTTTATATATAATAATACCTTCTAGTATTGTGTATAGTACCCATTGTGACATGACTTTTTACATAGTGAAAAATTAGAAATCACGTGCATTTCACAATTGTTTATATCACATGGCATATATAAATAATCCTTTAAAAAATTGATCTACATTATTTGTCACTACAAAACGTGATTTTCTCAATTTTTGATCAAATCTAAATGGAGATAGCCCCCTTTCTACTGAATAGACCCCATATTAGTTCAAATAGTGCTAAGAGTAAGATACCGGGATGTCTAAGTATGTTACTGTTATGTTACCATTATTGATCTACCGCTACAGTTATTTGGCGGATCTATGGTAGAATAATGGGTACATATCGAGTATATACCTTTCAGGTACGGTACAGTTAAAATTAACTGGTAAGGTACGGTACAGAAAAGTGACCGTACCCAGATAAATTTTTTCAAGCAGGGTACACAAAAGAAATAATAATTATTGTACCAAGTTTTTTTTTTTGGTGTTAGGTACGCAAAAAAAAATATACTTAATGAAAATGTTTAGCGTACCCAATCTAATATTAACAATTTGGGTACGGTATGAAAAAAAAATATAGGTAATATAAAAAAAAAGTGTACCGTACCCAAAGTTATGTATATATTTTTAGGTACGGTACATAATAGATTTCAATAAAGATATAAATAATTACCGGTATACAATTAATTTTGTAATTAAATATTTATATGTATAAATATAAATGCTTTAAATATTATTTTTTTTTAATATAATGTAATTAGATATATAACTATTTTATGTAATATACAATATAATTAGATATTTATTTTTATTTATTTATTTAAATTTATATTTATTTTTACATATAATACATAATTATTTTTTAATGTAATATAAAATTAGATATTTATATAATTAAATATATAAATTAATTAAATTAAAAATTGTAAATTTAAATAAAATTAATAATATTATTAATATAACCATAAAATTATATATATTTAATAATCTAATTAAATATAAAATTTTTTATTAAGGACAATTTTAATGCTCACCAGAGATGAAATTCACCAGTGGTACTGTATCTCAAAAACATACTAAGTAATTAAAGTTATGGAGTCTAAGTAAAATGTTTAAGACTCCTGAAAACCTCACAAAAATTGAAATCAGGACCTTATATCTAATCTGTATTATGTTATATGAAACTCCTCTTTTATCCTAAAACTGCACCCTAACACTAAAAACTCTTAGGATAGTGAATTTCACCACTGGTGAATATTAAATAAATTCTTTTATTAACTCTAATTTTAAATTAAATATTAAATATATTCAAAAAATAGTACTAATCGTATATTGATATAATTTTAATATTAAAACTTTATATATATTCTAAATTATATAATCTTTAAACAAAAAATACACAATACATTTTTAACTACTAACTGTACCATACTATACCTAAAAGAATAATTTTTTTATAAGGTATACAAATTTTAAATCTAGTATATATTTAAAATATTAACTGTATCATATCTAGATAATAAATATTTTTATTAGGTACAGTTCTTAAATTAATATATATTATATTCCGTATCTACTAGATACACAAAAATTACTAGGTACATAGGTACACTAGAAATATACTGTACCTTACCTAAAACCCAAAACTATACCATACCAAAAAGGATACTACCTGAATTTTGGAATATCACAAAAAATTTACTTTATGTACCCTAATACTTTATATGCTAAGATATTTCTAAACTATAATTTGTAGTTTGGGATTTAACAAATCGAATACATAAATTAATAAATAATCTTTATATTCACACATATTTTTTATTCTCATTAAATCAACATGAACGGGATAGAATTAAAGGAGGTATTTATACAGTAAAATCTCTATAAGTGCACATACTTGAAACCAAACTTTAAAAACATGCAATTAAAAGAACTATATGAAAAAATGCATTTGTGGAGGTCATATATATGTTTAGGCCGAACTTGAGGGGTTTACTTATTTCTCACTGTGATACAAATCATGCGAAATTACAAATATCCATTTGCCACAAATTTGCTTTAACTTTAAAGTTAAAAAGAATAGATTCTATACTAAAATTTTGCAAGGAATTTTTTTTTTGTTAGAACACGAGAGGTGGTTTTTTAGACAAAATTTTGAGTTATATACAAAAATTTCCTTTTTTTAGTTTGTATCATGAAATAAGAGCACACGAACTTGAATGTGCATTTAGAGAGGATATGCATTTACAGAGGGTGCGCTTATAGAGGTTTTACTTTAATAATAAATTTGAACTCATCAATCAATAAATACATTTGATTAAGCAAATAAAAAAATTCAAAAGTATTTATAGAATTTTAGTTGTTATATAAATGGTTACTCTGGTGTATAAATAGTAGCTCTGGAGTACAAATTATTTTATATCAATAGTATTACTCCAGGGTGGTTACTTCTTTTAAGTATTTCTTAATAAGTCAGGGGATAGAGTGATGCCTAAGGGTGTTTTTAAGTATCTTAATCAATCCGTCGGAATGGGTCTGAGGGTAAATTTTTTATTAGTAAGAAAAATAATTTAGTGAATCAATTGTATTGATTATTCCAATAAATAAAACATGTAACGAAGTTTAGTACAGCAGAAAGAAAATTTTATTAGCGAAAGTTCATTTAACTGAACAAGTGAGTTTATCATTCCAATCAACAAGAGATAGAGGCCCAGACATCCTTTTTTTTTGTCATAGAGTTGCATTTATTTGTCGAAATTTTTCATTGATTGATTAGAAAAAATAATTATTCAAGTACTTCACTTTTTTTACATTATTATCGTTATTTTTATGGATCTTTAAAATCATTATCAACATCAACAAATTATTATTATATGCTAAATATTCGCTATAATAAAAAGTTTTTGTATTCTGTTGGTTTATAGTAAATTCTGAAAAAGTAACATAATTGGAAGTGTTGTAGATTCTCGTTGATCTATCATTTTTATTAATTTATTTTTTTTTTTATTTCTATTTGTAAAAACAATAATTGCTAAATGATAGTAATGATAAAGACATTTGCTCAAGCATCAATTGGCAATCAATATTTTAATTAATCATAATACTTAAGCACCAACACTATAAATTAATCCATTGTGGAAGATACATAGGCATATCTCAATCATATCATTGTCCATACTATCAGTTCTCAAAAATGGTCTAATTAATAATATCATAATGGTTGAACATTGTTTCAATCAATAGCAAATTACATCGAGCGTGGTGCTTTAAAACACTTATACTCTACAGTTACTCCTGAGTATTATACTCTATTAACATCACTAGTACTATCTATTTTTCAATATGAAAATTACCTGGCCTTTTAAAACGCATCACTATGTCCGAAATTAATACTGTTACTACTATGGTTTCATTAGCAGACGAAATTAAAAAACATAATACAGAAAAACTTATCTCGTTTTTGAAGGAACAGGACTTAGGTTTAGTGGGAAGGTTTTCGAAATTTTAGAAAAGGAGGAGTTTACTGGTCGTGCATTTTTCAAGATAACAGAAGAAAAGCTTCATAGTTATGGAATGCCTGGAGGACCTGCGTCAGATTTTGCAGACTTTACCAAGGAGTGTAAAGAGAAGAAGTTATGCTCGTTTTCCTCATACCATCTCGTCTCTGAGGGTACAGAGGTTATCCCACTTTTCAAACTGCAAATCTACGAAGTCCAAGATGACAATAAGCATTTGAATTATGTATAGTTGGTATCAAATTACGTCTTTGGAGTTATGGAACGTTGTTGATGACAAGTTTGGAGTCTATGCGTAATGAGTACATTTCAACTATACTGCATACTGCCCTTCATATCACAGAAGATGTCAAAAAAATTTTGGCATTACAGCTGATTTGAAAATTAGTGGGACACTTGAAAATTTTGCTTGTCTCCTGAAACCTTTCGGATTCATCTTACGAATTATTTAACTCTTCGGAAATCACATCACAATTTTCAGATCAAAGTTCCGAAGACAATTATGTGGTTTCTGAAAAGTTAGATGATTCATAAAATGAATCCGAAAGGTTTCGGAAAACAAGCAAAATTTTCAAGTGTCCCACTAATTTTCAAATCAGCTATAAGCTAAGTACGAAATAATTAGAGATAAAAGTTGTGGGCGGTTCGATTATGTAATCAAGGTAAGGTTTTCTTGTATTTTTCTATCTTTCCTCCTTTTCATGATAATTTAGTGCTAATATAAATTCGTAGAAGTCCGAAGACCTTATTTGCATCATGGAGGACAAGATCCAGCAAAAATTAATAGAAGGCTTCGCTCATAATATTAAGCAACTCGAAAGTTTATATAAACAAACAAGAGAAAACAGAAGTATGGTAGTGATGAATATTTTGACTATCTTTATGGAATTGTAACATCTGCCAGGGATTGGCATTTTCTTCTCTATTTTTCAGGTGGAATTTTACAAGCAAGTAAAGCACCTTTTAGCATTGAATTTACTAAAGAATCTTTGGACAAGAGCTCCGAAGAATATCAAACATTGCATAAGGGTTTGAAGAAGGTTTTAGGCATAATCGTTGGCTTATTGAAGGATAGAGTATGTGTGGAGGAAGAATCAAATAGGAAAAGGGTTAGAATAAAGAATTATTGATTGAAACAATAATCGTATAACAAAGATAATAGCAATTTCATTAAAAATTTTTAACTGCAAATAGTCGATTTACTTTGCAAGAAAACTTGTTTTACATGTTGCTATTAATTCATTCTAATCTTATCAAATTTTAATCTAGACGTTATGTATAATGGACACAGTCTCAAATTTTGTATATATTTTTGTATATATTAATGCTTTCTTGTACCTATAGTACTTTGAAAGATCATATAACCATTTTAATAAAATATTTTTCATAATTAAGGCATGGCAAAATTTCACTAATCTCGAAGTCAGAGAAATCACAGACGCATTAATTCCTGACACACTTACAGTAGTTCTGGTTTATAAAGAAAAAAAACATAGCTATGAACAGAATTACACCAAACCAAGAACTTAATTAGCAATCTTTATAATTTTTATAACTTTAGGTGCTAGACTTTTGAGTTTTAATTAATAATAAAAAAATTACTAAAAAATTATTAACTATTAATAATTTGACTATTGCTAATAATTCCTATGTGATTATATTAAAAAACTGCATATTACAGTATATATAAATCATAATAAATTAAACCTTAAAGCCTGAATTTTCATAAATTTAATGAAATAGAGAATGATACTGCACTGCACATTATCAAGTAGTTTCTAGTTAATAACTCGACTAATTTATTAATAATTATCATTATTAATTATTGTCATCATTATTAATTTAAAGTCCCATCAACAGGCGCAGGTACAAATAATCATAACAATAAGTAAAGCTTAGTGATTGGACTCGGGTCAAGTATTACTCGGGTTAACCGCGGGTAACCGGATAACCGGGTAATGACTATAGCTACTCGGGTAAGTACACCCGGGTATTACTCAAGTAGATATACCCAAGTAATACCCAGGTAGACATACCCGAGTATTACTTGGGTAGATAAACCCGGGTTTACTAATTTCTCCCCACACTTCCCATTGGACGAATACAAATAACGTT